GCAAAGCAATTGAATAAGCCTCCAATGGAGTTAGATAGACCCAATGCGATGAGCTCCTGGTCCAAAGAACAGACAGTAGAAGAAAAACACAAGATGTTCACACAAAAATGTTTTTTTTTCCCCCAGACATTTTTGATTTAGATCAATGACTTTCAGCAACTTAGCAAAAGACCAAAAAAACAAACTGAGTTTTTCAGATGTGCCTCAGTGGGAAAATTGGGTTTAACTGGCAACTGGATTTAAATGTAAGAACTAAAATTCCAAGAAAATATTCTGAACTTAAAACCATATTTTCCATTCTTGCAGTTTTACTATACTGTTAGTCTTATGTTGACACTAAATTTGACTTTAAAAGTGAAAAATATATTATATATTAGCCATTACTCCAGTCTTCTGTGTTTGCATGATCCTTCAGAAATCATTCTAACATGGAACCAGTAGTGTTTAGACACCACACAAACCAAGCAAATCACGTGATTTTTACCGAGGAGGCCCCCCAGGGACAGCTTGCTTAGGGCCTCCAAAACTCTGAACACGCCCCTGCATGGTACATTTGTGCTGTTTAATATTTTTTTCAAGATTCTTTGATGAATACTGTATAAAGAATACCATTCATTTGAAATTGATTATTTTTGTAACAATGTAATAATGTAAAAGTCCTTACTGTCACTGTTGATCAATTTAATGTGTGCATATATATTTGTGTGTATATAAATATATATACACATTCAATAAAAATCATCTTTTACAGTCACTTACCTGGTTACTGTCGACTTTGTAGGCATATTTGAGGGCGAAAATTCTACCCAGTGAGATAGCAATACCATAACCAACAACAGCCAGTGCAAAAGCATCACCGACCATTGAACCCAACAGTGAGACAGCGGGGGCCACAGGAGCCTGCAGACTAAGATGTGAAGAAGAGACGCAGATGAGTATTTGAGCCTGAAGATGTACTATGATGCTGTGGTTGTGTTTTGTAGCTGTAACCATTACCATGTTATACACATACTATGTTGCATAGTTGTGTGTTGGACTCACCCTGATGGAATTTCTCCAACCACTTCAACACCATATTCAGTCTTCAAATCCATCTGCCATGACACCACAGTAGCGACGATAATCTATTCACACAAACAGACAAGATGAAAGCTTTAAGAAGCAATATGTTACATTACCTCTAAACAGAAAGAGCAAGCAAAACTAATGAAATTTTTGATAGAGTAAAAAACTATAATTACATTTTATTGTAAATAAATAAAAAATATTAATATTAATAAGTCTATGTATGCCCACAGTTAGTTAAGTAAACATGTATGTGCATGTGTGTGTTTAACTGTAACTGTAAAAGTAGCTTACAGTGATCAGCTCAACAGGAATCGGAACAGGGATTTTGCGTGCTGCCAAGGCACTAAGTTCCTTTGCAGCGACCAGACCTAAGATGGTTACAATGCTAACTACTAGAGTACCAATATTAGTCTTTCCGAGCAATGCACAAATCTCTATGACTGTCTGGAGAGAGAAAGAAAAAAAATAGAGAAAACATTATTAAATGTAACTTGCTGAGTGCAAATAATAACCCCAACCACTAGGGGGCATTAAACACAAATTACACATAGGTATGATTATCAGTCCTTATCTGTGGCCTTTTACATACCGCTTCAGGATAGTCCTTAATTAAGTGTTTGGGACTGTGTGTGTGTTTGTGTTCATACTCACATATATAAGAGACAAAGGTCCACTGTACCGCTGTGGATTGATGCCAAAGGAATATTTGAGCTGGGAGACGATAACGTGAATGGCGGCCGCTGTTGTATAAGCTCTCACCAATGGCTCTGAGAGATATGTCACCACGAAACCGAACCGAACCACACCGAGGAGTAACTACACACACAGACACCACACAAACACTTAGTCACATACACAACGTCAAAGCCACACACACTTACAAATTAACCTACCTGGAAAATGCCAGATAAGAAAGTCACAGTGGCCGCGATCTTGACCCTCTCCGCATCACGGCCGACAATGTCCAAAGTGGTGCTGTTGGTGTCATTGCCTGGTATCATGAAGTCTGAGTCTGGAGCCAAACGCTCTGTCACGCTGCCAATCATAACACTCATAACTGCATATGTACCTGTAGCCAGAGAGATTAGAAAGTAACCCGTTAAGATGTTAAGATCATCAGTGAATTACACAAAGCTACTGAATGACTTCAGAAGACTTGAAATACAGCACAAGAGTCATGAGACTATTTTTATGATGCTTTTTGGAGCATGAACTGTTGTTGTATAGAAAAGATTGATGTGATTTGTGTGTGTGTGTGTGTGTGTGTGTGTTCCATGGAAACAGATTTGGAATGAAATGAGTAAATGATGACATAATTTTCATTTTTGTGTGAACGATACCTTTAGGAACAACCTAAATCAAAGGGAGGTGTGTGTACTTACCCACAGAGATATGTTTGGATGTTCCAAATATGAAGTAGATGAGAATGGGGTAGAAGGAGGAATACAGACCAAAAACAGGAGGAACCGCAGCCAGCAAAGCATACGCCATACCTGCACCCACAAAACACATGTGTTTTTGTTTAGGTCTGTCTTAAGTAATGTGTGTGCTTTGGCAATGCAGGTGTGCATGTGCTTGTGTTGGACCTTGTGGCAGGTGCATGATTCCCACACTGATTCCTGATATTAGATCTCCAATAGCATTTTCTCGAAACGGGTATTGTGGCAGCCATGCCAGGAGAGGAACAAATGAAAGGAAACAGCTCTTAAATCTTGGGCCTGTACACCTGATGAACAAAGAAAAAGAGAAAATTATGAAACACAGAGAAGAGCAAAATAGCTGCCTTTCACATTATAATGAATAATATGTGTGTGTGTGGTTTTTTTAAGCGTGAGAGATGTTGTTGCATCCATTAAAGCACAAGATGCTATTTGGATCATTCTCAGTTAAATGCTGGACAACATGATCATGAGGTTTGACACAAAATTGTGGAGTTAATGTTGTTAAGTTCAAGATTATTGGAGTATGTTTTACAAGAAAATTCTATTTCAGTCTTTGTACTTAAAATGTCATTTAATTCAGTGTTATTTGCCATTTCTTTGTAATAATTTGTAAAAAAAATGACTAGCCAAAAACAAGTGAAATTTGTTTCACAGTACACAATTTTTTTTTAGCTATAACTAGTACTGCTTCCAAAATGAGTACAAACCAAATACTGAGATTTTTTTTTCAATTAAACTTTTCTCTTAAATTATTATGTTGATACAAATTGTAAATAAATAAATAAAATTAGAAAAATGCAAAATAGGAGCATTTTCAATTAAATGTGCAACCTAGTTCAGTTCTCAAGCAGTAAAATATTCAAATCAAAGAAAGGCCATATTGACACACCTGACAGCATCTCTGAGTTTTTCGTTTGTTGAAATTTTGAAATCCGATTTCTCAGCAACTTGGTCGACACTGAGCTCATTCAGTACATCTCGCTGAATTTGATATGGTACCCTTTTCCTGAGATCTTTGACATTCATCTCCTCCATTTTGAATCCTCTCTATCTTAAATGTGATTCTGAAATTTTCTAAAATAATTCCAGTGCATAGATCCCAAAATGTATGTAATCACAATGAAAATTCAATCCTTAATGTCCACGCAAACAGGCCCAAAACAATTCTGAAGGATGTTCTCCAGTTATTCGAAGTGACAGCTCCACAGGTCTGCTGCTTGAGCAGTGAAGCTCTGGACAGCAATGGATTAATTAACGTCCCTGGCCCTTTTCTTCAATCACAGTTTGTGTTAATGTGTATCCTGCCCTTTCTGATACCCGTATGATCCATTCACACACTCACTGATAGAATTCTAATGTTCATATGAGGAGCAAAGTCCCAAAAAGAGAGGAGGGGGGTTCTTCAGAGTCAATGTTGGAAACTTTCACACTAGAGACCTACGCCACCTTATCTCGGCCTGATTAGATAGAAAACATGTTCATTCAGCAAAACCATGTGCTTTTGTATGAGTGAATTGTGATCTTTGAAATCACATCTCTGCTACAAGATCTCTGAGGTGTTTGCTTTGATCCAATGAAGTAGAGCCATATTTATCTGAGAATAAACAGACCATATATAAAATTGTAATTATGTCATGTAATTATGACTGTTTGTATTTTTAACTAGATATACATACATTAACTATAGTTTGGGGACAAACACTGTCTTAAAATGAGGTAATACTGACAAAACATTCCTTTAGCGGAATTTGGGAACATCCTCTATTGGAGTTCCATTTCATTTGACCCAAAAATACCAAAACAAGTTTTCGGTTTCTGTAGAGTTAGGGTTAGTCTGTCATTATGATCAGTTTTATACAACAGAAGCTTATTGTATATGCATGTGTGAGAGATGAGCTTATTAAATGTTAATGTGGCCCCTCCCCAACACCTGCCTAGAGAACAAAGTCTCTTCTAATGACATTTATGGTCCAATTCACTGGGGGTACAAGAACATTTCAGCAATGCACATGTGTGAACTTCACGCATACTAACTAAACTGTACTGAGCTGGAGCAGTTTGGCTGTTGTCAGTCGGCCTTTTGTGATTCTCTTGGATTTTATATTGTTTGTGTTGACTGGAGTGTTAATAATTATTTTACATGCTATTCATGTATCTATATGTTGTAATTGTGTACATAGATTATTTATTTTATTACATATTTTATTTATTTTACAACATCACTAAACCAAACTGATCTGTAACATGAAATACTGTATATGTTAATCTAGAAGATTACATATGCACAGACCTGCATGACATGTTTTGAAGACTCTTCATATTTGTGCAATAATCTAAAAGTAGAATAATGACGAAAATTTTGATTTAAAAAAAGAGCAAATCAACAAGCACGTAAATAAAAAACAAAAAATACAAAAGGTACAAACTGACATAAGTCATTGTCAAGTTTTATTTTAATATTCAATAGCTGATAAACAAACAACTGTTGCCACACATCACCTTAAATCCAGATGAATGCACAAAGTTGATCCAAATCATTAAATCAAAATTGGAAGTTCTTGTATTCCTTTTCCGTTCTATCTTGAAGTGTCACTTCTAAAGCTCGGTAGTGAGGGTTTCTTTTTCAGGTTTGCAAGTTCATGTATTTGTCGAGTTCATCGTTCAGGAAGTGAGGTAGGTCACAGCTCTGTAACATGTGTGCCTGTGCTCTGTAAATAGATGCATAATTGAATTAGAACAGAAAACGCTATTGAATTACAGTGAACTACTACAGCATACAAACACAAAGAGCAAAAATAACAAGGAGACAGAGATATAACATCATTTAAGCACACACACACACACACACACACACACCTGTAGCCCCTGGTAGTGCAGCATTGCATGATGCACTGAAGGGGAAAATGAAGAAAGAGACAGAAAATCTGGAACAAAACCATGATTCTTCATCTGAGATAGTAAACCATCTAGAGACAAACACACAAGAGATACAGTAAATAAATTAATTCATTAAATATATAAAATACCAGTTCTTGAGGATGAACTATCCCTTTAAACGTCATGTTACATATTAATATAAAACACCTCAGATCATGAAACTACATTTGAGACTGTAGCTGTACGTGTGAGACATGTAATCTGGACATGCAGCACAGAAAAACAAGGTCTGCGTGTTCTCAAATTCCTGAAGTACCTGTGACCCAGAGAGAGTGGTAAGACATGCATGTTTGCATTTAAACACGATCATGGTGACAAGCAGAATTTAAAAAGCCATTTATTGGTTAGCAGTTAATGAGAGCCAGTAACAAGTAACCTATTTCTGTTCATCTCTGGTAAAATATCAACACTTCTACGTGTGGGTACATGTGTGTGTTCTGTGACACTAACTGATTTTAATGCGCCCATGGCGTCCATGAAGGTGACTCCACTGAGCTCCAGAATAACGCACTCTGAACCCCCTGCTGGTCTGGAGGACTTACTTCAGGATTCTCATTAATGTCATTACTAACAGCCTGCATATACAAAAAGAATAATAAAATTGAACTCAGTAAATGGAAAGCAGGGAGCTGTAATAGATGTTGTACCTGTCTGAGTGATGTGAAGGTCTGGTCTGCATTAGCATAGTAAAGTGGATTACAACAGGAAAACAGTCAACTCCAGGGACTTGGTGTGCCTGAACCAACACAAAATTCAGGGATTTAGTCAAGTCAAGTCAAGTCAAGTCTGCTTTATTGTCAATTCTTCCACATGTACAGCACATACACACAGAGAATTGAAATTGCGTTTTTAAATTTATATTTATATTATACATATGTACTAGAAGGAACACTTCTAATATATATGTAATATTAATAAGTAATACGATTAATACAATTATTTATAAAATATATAATTGTTATATATATTTCATATAAATGTGATTTCGGACGCAGCGTAACTGATTTTAATGCGCCCATGGCGTCCATGAAGGTGACTCCACTGAGCTCCAGAATAACGCACTCTGAACCCCCTGCTGGTCTGGAGGACTTACTTCAGGATTCTCATTAATGTCATCACTAACAGCCTGCATATACAAAAAGAATAATAAAATTGAACTCAGTAAATGGAAAGCAGGGAGCTGTAATAGATGTTGTACCTGTCTGAGTGATGTGAAGGTCTGGTCTGCATTAGCATAGTAAAGTGGATTACAACAGGAAAACAGTCAACTCCAGGGACTTGGTGTGCCTGAACCAACACAAAATTCAGGGATTTAGTCAAGTCAAGTCAAGTCAAGTCTGCTTTATTGTCAATTCTTCCACATGTACAGCACATACACACAGAGAATTGAAATTGCGTTTTTAAATTTATATTTATATTATACATATGTACTAGAAGGAACACTTCTAATATATACAGTGAGTACGGAAAGTATTCAGACCCCCTTAAATTTTTCACTCTTTGTTATATTGCAGCCATTTGCTAAAATCATTTAAGTTAATTTTTTTTCCTCATTAATGTACATACAGCACCCCATATTGACAGAAAAACACAGAATTGTTGACATTTTTGCAGATTTATTAAAAAAGAAAAACTGAAATATCACATGGTCCTAAGTATTCAGAAAAACCATGCTGAAAAAAATGCTGAAAAAAGATTATTTATTTAAACCTTATAAAAAATCGGAAGTATGTTGTTGGTAATTTATGGTCATTAGCTGGTTTAGTGTAATATTAATAAGTAATACGATTAATACAATTATTTATAAAATATATAATTGTTATATATATTTCATATAAATAAATTCAGCTGTGTCATCACAGGAATTACATTTCAAAATATATTCAAATAGAAAACAATTATTTTAAATTGTAATCATATTTTACAATAACTATATTTCTGATCAAATAAATGCAACCTTGGTGAGCATAAGAGACTTGAAAACATAAAAAAAAAAAAATGCTGAAAAAAGATTATTTATTTAAACCTTATAAAAAATCGGAAGTATGTTGTTGGTAATTTATGGTCATTAGCTGGTTTAGGTAGTTGCTCAACTGAAAAATATGATTAACCATATTTCAAAACAGCTTAGGCTGATTTCTAGCTGGATTGTGTGCAAATAATACCCTTGAGTATTTTTCCAGATCCCTGTAACAGTCTGTGCCAGCAATATGCCCAAGAACGGAAGATCTGCGCCTGAGAAATTTAGAAACAGGAAGAATAAGAGTTAGTATGAGAAAGATGAAAAACTGATAGAGAAATAGAGGGAGATACTGTAGATAAATATCAGACAATACAGATGACTCACTGCTGTGTCCTGAGCACAATGGTAAAAAGAGAGAAAACAATTGCAATGCCAAGCCCCAGGTCCAGATTGAACATCAGGGCACTGAGCAGTGTCACTACCCACACTACCTGCAGTCTCAGTAGGAAACACACACAGGAAACAGCCTGGATGAGAGGCCTACATGGAACTGGATTTTGGAACATGTTGTACATGGGTCAGATATGTAAGGATAAATGGACTGTCCAAGCGGTCTGTATTCCAAAGTTTAGGCACATCTTTGACTTGTGCAAAAACCCCTTGCAGATTCACTAAAATAATGACAGCCAAAACTGTCTTAAACACAAATATACTTTATAAAACCACCTTATTATACTATATCCATATAATTTATACTGTTATTGAAGGTGGTATTGGGACCTTTGGTAACTGCTGAAAAAGGGGGCCAAACTTCAACAACATCAAAAGAAGTATCAGTGCAGACACCAGAGAAGAAACCTGAGAGAAGGAGAGAGGTCATGTTCATGGAGTAAAGCTCTTACTGCATTGCTCCACACCTAAACATACATTATTTTGAAAAATCAGTTTCTTTCGTGTATGTGGTTTACATTTTATCAGTTTGCTTTATCACTTTTCTGATAAGAGTGACAAAGATGTTAATAATAGTCACATGCTGCGTGTTCTTACAGCACAATTCCGTTTCAATTCAACCATATTTTAGATTTTTTATTTTAAATAATTAATACAAAAAGTTTTCTTTTTTAATCTCATAGGCTTTTTGAATTTCAGTATATATATGGACTTTAAATGTATTGTAGGGTATATAACAGTATAACTATTTTCTGTGAAAACATTCAATGCAATCCTCCCAGGTTATGTGCATGTACATGTAACTGTAACTTGAGGTTGTTTTATTAACCAGAAATAGCAGGTGTTCACACCCGAGTTTGTCCGCCTGTACTCTCCTGCACTGTGCTGCGAGACATGGATCCGCTTACTGGAAAGCACTGGAACATCCCGCCAATGGAGCTGCACAGACCCATAGCCAACAGCTCCTATAGGAGGAAGAGACCATTTATGTTCAGACGAAGGGAATGCTGCAAAGTGGGCATTTATACTAGTCTTTTTGGGAGGTTGCAGGGAAAAAACTAAAGTTCTTAAAGTTACATAAATTGCTTGTTACCTGGTTGCTGTGAAAGGGGTACCCATGTTTATGAGCAAACATCATGCCCAAAGAAGCTTGAAAACCATAGCCCACCACTGCCAACGCAAGAGCTGTCAATAATAGCTCCTTAGAGACAGAAAATGATGGAAGGGAGGGAGGTGAGAGACTTAGAGGTAAACAAAGAGAGAGAAAATGGGACAAAAGGAGAGAGAGAATTAGTTTTAGCACCTAAATACTTCCTGATAATTGGTTTTGTAAAGAAAATCCAACACTCTGGTTGGTATGGGTCCAACAATCTGTATTCCATACTGACCGGACAGATCAAACTGCACTGATGACAGAGTGGCAAAGATAATCTAGGAAAATGAAGAAAGAATAACTGTTGAACAGAAATCTCTTATAAAACTGAAACCAAAGTCAGCATTATTAATGTTAAGGTAAAATAAATTAAAAAACATTCTCATTAATTTAATCAAAAATATAAACTAACACAAACTAAATTACATTCTCAACTAACTGAAATTAAATATAAAAGCCCACAAATTCTAGTTTTTGATAATATAAAAAAACTTTAAACCTGCCTGTATTAAATGTAATGTATTAAACACTAGACGGAGAAATTTGAAAACTTAAATAAAATCTAAAAACAAAATTGTGCATGTGCGCACCAGTACCAACTCCCATGGAATTAGAAATCGAGTGCTCCAGAGTGAATTCACCATCTCTCCACCAACAAGTACCACCAGGGAGACAAAGGACACTACCAGTGTCGCCAGTAACACTCTCCTGATTCCAGTCACAATGTTTGAAAACATCTGGTGGACACACATACTGTGTGTACATTTAACATCTGAAATGAACACAGATATAAATCACACAGTGCTCATTCTGACCCAGAACACAGCAAAGATGCCTCTGTGTCTGACTGTGGAGATGCCCATCAGTAAAGGCAGCTGGTGAACCATCACATGGACAGCAGCTGCTGTAGTGTATCCACTGACCAATGGCTGAGACAACCACCGACACACCCATCCACATAGGGAGAGAGATTTATACACAAACACACACACCAATACAGAATTAATACAGTTTGTGTGTGAATGACCTGTATCAGTCCACACAGAATGGTCAACTGAGCTGCAAAGGCAACTCTTGACACTTTCAGCCACAATCTCAGCACTCTCTGCTCCACTGCCTGGCCTGCCAACACAACATCACCAGTCACTGTACCGACCATGATGGAAAGGACAGAAAAAGTACCTGTGGATCAGACAGATCATCAGCCAATCAGACCTGAACGTCCAATCAAATAAGAACAAAGCCATTGTTACATATTAAATAATGTTTAATATATGCTTTAACTTTTTTATTGTTTATTTTTTGTATTATATATTTTTATTGTTTATTGTATTATGTATTTTATACTTCATTTTATTTAAATTATTTATTTAATTTATTGTTATATATATATATATATATATATATACACACTTTATTTTATATTCACTTTATTTAATTGTATATTTTATACTTCATTTTATTTTACATTTTGTTTTATTTTAATGACCTATTTAATTTATTGTTATTTTATATATATTTTGTTACATGTTATATTTAATTAAATTTTTAATTTTAATTATATATATATATTATTTATTATTTATTATACAATTTTTTACTTGATTTATTTTTGCATTTAATTTTAATGTTTTATTTTAATTTATTATGTAATTTAATATATTTTTGTTTTATATATTTTAGACTTAATTTTATTTTATTTTATAATTTGATTATTCTATATTTATTTTTGTTATAATATTTTTTATTTTATTATATTTTAATGTTCACTCAAACAACAGTTCATCTGAATTTTTTTTTTCATTATTTACAAAAATCTGTAAATTGATATTGAATAAATATCAGCAAATGGGCTTGTTACAATTTTTTTTCAGCTATTCCTTTAATATATTTGTCTTGCAAAGTGGCATTGTGTATGTGTGTACGCAATGTACAGTGGGGAAAAAAAGTATTTAGTCAGCCACCAATTGTGCAGCACATTGTGAAGAAAATTATCGCCTGCCAGCTGATAATACAGCTCGGTAGGTGTCTAAGATGAGAAACAGGATGATGAAAATCATAACTGACCCCTCACATCACAGACACTTCAAGTGTCTTCACTCTCAGAGAAAATCTATTTTGATCAATTCTTTATACTTTATAATAGTTGTCATATAGCAGTTTGTAACTCAGATAACACAGGAGAGTGTGTGCAAGTCTTAAACCTTGTGGCAGGTGCATGATTCCCACACTTATTCCTGATATCAGATCTCCAATAGCGTTTTTCCTGAGCGAGTATTGTGGCGGCCATGACAAGAGAGGTGCAATAGACAGGAAGCAGCTCTTCAGCCTTGGACCTGAACACCTGAACCACAAAAAAAGAGAAAGAAATATGGGGGTTAATTTGTATATTTAGCATGGACACTTTATTTTATGATCACATTATGCTTCTTAACCTCGCCTGCCAGCTGATAATACAGCTCGGTAGGTGTCTAAGATGAGAAACAGGATGATGAAAATCATAACTGACCCCTCACATCACAGACACTTCAAGTGTCTTCACTCTCAGAGAACACTCAGAGAAAATCTATTTTGATCAATTCTTTATACTTTATAATAGTTGTCATATAGCAGTTTGTAACTCAGATAACACAGGAGAGTGTGTGCAAGTCTTAAACCTTGTGGCAGGTGCATGATTCCCACACTTATTCCTGATATCAGATCTCCAATAGCGTTTTTCCTGAGCGAGTATTGTGGCGGCCATGACAAGAGAGGTGCAATAGACAGGAAGCAGCTCTTCAGCCTTGGACCTGAACACCTGAACCACAAAAAAAGAGAAAGAAATATGGGGGTTAATTTGTATATTTAGCATGGACACTTTATTTTATGATCACATTATGCTTCTTAACCTCCCCTACTCACCAGCGCTCCTCCTTCAACTTTCCCCAAATTGTCCGATATACCCTCCACCTGCGCTGTCCCAGGATATCTAGCTGTGCTTCATTCAGACCATAAATCCGACTGGGATTGAAATTCTCACTCTCTAAACATCTTTGATTGTCCATCTGTAAAAAAGGAGAAAAAGTGGCTGAAACAAGCACAATCCTAAAACAGAGCGTATGATTATGCTTCCCATGTGTGAGGCTGTTGTGACTTCAGTGTGAACCCCGAGCAAACCTTGTACTATCATTCTCACAAGCAAGCACAGTAGCTAAACCAATTAAACCAGACATCTATAATTGGGTAGAGACAGATTCATTCTACAGTTTTCCTCCTGCAGGCTACTAAAGGGTTATTTATTGTCTCAGATGTTCACCAACATTTATCGTCGGATCAGTGAAGGAAATCTGTCATTGGCTTTGCTTTGACCAAAGGTAAAAAGACTTTAACCTACCACTCCTGAGAACAGAGATCATATTACGCAACATGACATGAGCGACGGCTTGTACTAAACTTTCTATTTTTACTGTAGCACTTTAATAATGTTCTCCAGATAATGATTATGCATGTGACTTTTTATGTTGGAGGCAGGGCTGTTTTATCCAATGAGAAGATGCTTATACATGGTGTAGAAACTGCCCTTTGACCCTACAGTATATAGTACAAACTGAAGCTATAGAAGACATACATCAGTCTATAGTTATCTGTACATCAACACATCATTAACACAATCAGATGGTAAAACACAATATGTTTTTCACTATTTTTGAAGCCATACTGAAATGTAAAGGTAAGGACACAATTTTCTAACACATAGTAGTACACAGGTTAAAAAGTATACCAATTACAACATTTGGTAGGAATCTGATCAAGACTCAAGAAGGATTCAGGACATCAGCAGCCAAAACTGATAACACATCAAAGCTCATCTGCGTGTCAGCACTCTTTGATAGGAGCACACGTGAGGACAGGTGACTGCACAGGTGATTATGCAATAAAACTGGAAATAAGCTTATCATCAATTAGTTTTCTTACCTTGTGTAGAGAATTCACCAAATTCTGTTATGTGCGCCCAGAAGAAACCACTTTATTATTCCTGTGCACATGACCTGACTATCTCAACAAAACCTCAGGCCACATGTGGGACGGATCTCAGCTGAATCTCTCTCCTTAAATATTTTCATTGCTTTCTGTTGTTTAAAGGTCAGATTTATAATGTTACCTCATATATAATTCATCACAAATGCTGTCTCCAACCTAAATAATAAACACCATGGTTATTCTCTCAAACTCTGTGTTCCATTGGTTTATATACTGTAAGTGTCGACAGAGCTTAAGATCAGAAGGCAAAAACAATATCACACCCACACACACTCTAAATATACATTTAACAGCCTTAAAAAAATAACAAAAACAACAAATACAACTTGAGGAATTTCCATTACTTCACTGGCCACTATATATAGAATGTTTTTATAACAATGTAAAATGTATGTTATACTGTATGTTTTTACATAGTTACAAAAATTTGGGAAAAAAAATAAATTATCACAGTTTGCACAAAAATATTAAGCAGAACAACTGTTTTCTAAATGCTTGAGCACCAAATCAGCATATTAGAATGATCTATCTATCTATCCATCCATCCATCCATAAAGCAAAAATAAAATTAAGCATATAGATGAAACACGGACGTGAAGCCATAGAGCACCTGATGTTCATGTGCTTACATTGTTTTTCCACAGGATGCATTTCTGCCCTAGATGTGAACTTACAGTACCATGTTTTGCCTCAGTATTGAAACTGCCTCAGCAACACAGTGAGATCTCTGAGGCGCTCCGCTCTGCTCCGTGCAGACTGGTGAACAGGCAGCTCAAAAAATTAAAATGTGAAACTACGAGAAAAGCTAAGATTTGTGACTTGTCTCAGAGGGGGTAAATGGGGAGGTCTAGGGGGGTGTCTTGGTGGGAGCGGTTTGCGTTTTACCCTGGCACTCTGGCCATTCTCAGGTTCAGTGTTTTTGATTTGAGGAGGGGGTGGTGGGGGCGGAGGATCTGGTGCTATGGTTGGCTTCGAGTAGGCAAGAGGAAGGGGTGAAAGTGGAGGGGGGAAACTGGTAAAGGAGGACTCACAACACAGTGAGATCTCTGAGGCGCTCCGCTCTGCTCCGTGCAGACTGGTGAACAGGCAGCTCAAAAAATGAAAATGTGAAACTACGAGAAAAGCTAAGATTTGTGACTTGTCTCAGAGGGGGTAAATGGGGAGGTCTAGGGGGGTGTCTTGGTGGGAGCGGTTTGCGTTTTACCCTGGCACTCTGGCCATTCTCAGGTTCAGTGTTTTTGATTTGAGGAGGGGGTGGTGGGGGCGGAGGATCTGGTGCTATGGTTGGCTTCGAGTAGGCAAGAGGAAGGGGTGAAAGTGGAGGGGGGAAACTGGTAAAGGAGGACTCAGAGTGTGAGAAGCCTTGCCAGGGTGACATGCTGTCAGGGGCCACAGATGAGATGGGAGGATGGCTGCGTTTTCTCGTTTCGGCCTGAGGAGGATGCTGGGGAGTGGATAGAGTGGGTCTTGCTAAAAATAGAATAGATTAAAAAATATAAAAATCAGATTTGTGTTCAAGCATGTTTCTGCTTTAGATTAAAAAAAATTGGGACTTTAATTCTCGTAATTGCAACAATATTTTTTGGGAATTGTCACTACATATCTAAATTGGGTCTACTTCTCATAATTGTGGCTTTCTTGCAAATACGACTTTATATTTTATTACTGTGATTTTAGTTCTTTATATCTAATAATTGCAAATATTTCTATACTATAACAATATCTTTACTATACTTCGTATTTATGATTTTATATCTCATAATTGCAGTTTTTACAAACATAATCAGTTACCTGTTTTGTTGTAGGAAACAGGATCTCATAAATCTTTAATTTTATCTCACACATGTTCAGTTCCCATTATCCTCTCGCCTAACAAGTCACATTAGAAAGACGAATGTTTGGACAATAGCAGTTAATTAATTTAGCACCTCCTAAATTTCTATTGTCTATTGATGAGCTCAGGTAACATTGTGTAGACAGAAGGTACAAAGATCAATGTAAACACACAGTTTATATGTCACACATCAGGATTGATTAGCATTACTTCACAGGCAATGACTACTTAAATCCAACTTATGAAAACATCTGATTTCCAGTTAAATCGGATGATATCTGACAACACCTTATCATATAACAATGCACTATTGATTCCATATAGACTATAAAAGTACCTGCAGTTTTATTGCTTGATGAACCAATCAGAGGGAGCCTATCCTTTGACATCCCTGCATTGTCCTGTATAGTGATACCACACACATAATTATCTTTAAACAGTCTTTAAACAGTCTTTAAACAGTATATTTTATATTGTACTGTATATTAACTTGTAAATTCAATCAATTTACTGTAGGTCATTTTTGTGGAACAGCCATACCATGTGATTTTCAGTCTCCTTTTTCTTTCGTTTTTGAGGCATTTTAGGGTTCTTCTTTCCAGATTCATTCTCCCTGAATCGTGACATCCTTTTTCTAAAGATCAGAACGCTCATTGTGACTCATTTCAAACAAAAAGACACAGCCTCACAACACACAAATTCACACTTTTGATATTGCAGAAAAGCAATTTTATACTCACATACATTTTTTATCCTCTTCTTCTCACATTTTGGCTCCTTTTCACATCACATAATCAGATATATTATTTTATATATTAATTTCTTTCACATTCTGCAATCCTTAATGGGACTTTTATGTCTCCCTCACATGCTTTCTCTTCCTTTCGTTCATTGAGCTGTGGATTAAAGGGATTGGCCATCGAGCCACTATGATGATGAACAAAAGGGAACTGGAGAAGGGGGTGAAATATTTATACTTAGTTGCACAGCCAAAGCCACCGAACACACTCACTCTCTCGCTCACCCACACACACCTGCTGGCCTGTAGCCCATGAAAACCCTGATACTTTATACATGCATGACTCTATTTTCAAGCCATGAGCCACTCACACACATGCACGCATATACTGTAAACAGCCACAAATTCATATCTGGCACCATTTAAAAGTTTGGACAAACCTACTAATTCTATACTATTAGTATTCTTCACATGATAGAATAATAGTACAGACATTAAAACTATGAACTAACACATTGAATGGTGCATCTCGTAAAAAAATTATAATGATAATATATATCCACCTTATTTTTCAATGGGGAAGGAATCTGTTTTCTGTGAATGTGTGAGACTTCCGCTTCATTAGCCGCGGTAGGGAAATAACAAGAAGAATAACAAAGTGCAATAAATGGTCAAATTGTTTGTGCTACAAGTGTTTATAACTAAGACAACACATCAAAATAATATGGTAAGAAACACCAGTTTGCAATATCAAGCAACAAAACGAGTTGTTTTGTACAGTTAAGAATAGCTGAAAGTGGATGACACCCCTCTTATGGGAAAATTAAGGTGAATATATATATATAACATTTTGAATTAACTTCTATTTAGATTTTTTCTGTATTATTTTTAGTTTCGTCATTTTTTATTAGTTATATATATAAAACTAAACTAATAAAAATGACAAAAGAACATACATACAATTAATTTCTATTTTTTTCATTTTTTCATTCAAATTTAAAAAATTTTTGTTCCAAGTTTTTTTTTATCAAATATTTATATTTTATTTTATTTCAACATTATTTCAACAACAAAAAAATAGTTTTTAATAGTTTTAGTAAACAATAACACTAGTCTTTATATCAAAAGGTCCGTAGGATCATGGGAAACAAATTCAATCAAGCATGTCCAAACTTTTGATTGGTTCTTGTACAGCTGTATTGCCTTTCATTGTTAGGCCATATTGAAAATAAAAATGTCCTTACAAGGTACTTTACCTGACACAGTAAACATTTTACATATTTGAAAATATCTTTACTTGAAAATCTTTACAATTTTACAATTAAAAATCTTTGGCATCTTAATTTATAAATCACAAGTTAAAGTCAGTGTTTTGTCCTCGAAACTTGATGTGGAAATATCAGTTTCTTTCTCTCCTCTACTTTTATTGCCCTGTTAACTGTTTCATTCAGTTTATCCATCTCTCTTTCCGTTAACTGAAACAACTGTAAGCCCTGCCCACAAACAAGCACCCAGGCTCCACCCTCTTGTCCAAACCATGCCCACAACCCAGCTGCATCTGCAGTGTGTGAGAATAGCACCTTCAGTGGGCGGAGTCCGTCACTGTTCACACTCCACAAACACAAGCGCTGGTCCGGTGAGGTGGACACCAGTAGGGTGGGGCTTAGTAAACATAACCCTGTGAGAGGGGAAGAGTGTGCCAGGGGCACTGAACAATGAGAAAGCAGCTGTAGAGACACGCCTCCATTCTCCTGCCCTTTCTGATCTATCTTAATATGCAGTAGAGACAGCTGTCCATCATCTCCACCACTGGCCAATGAGATAATATTTTCCTCATCTCTCTCCTAGGTGATAAGGCAAGCGTATTGACTCCACTTTGATGGACAGGTATGGAAAAGAACGGGGCTGATGGACCTGAAGCACAGACAGGGTAAATTGTTATTAGCATACACATATTGTAGAGTTCTATAACCAGTTTCAAGCCTGATGGCACCCAAAACTACGGGTTCTGACATGGATTCAGTCGGTTTTTTATGCTCTTGGGTTTGTAATCAATTTAAAATTCTTTTTTAATTTTATGGAAACAGACATACTCCATCTTTTGAGTCTTTAAGATTCTTAAATAAAATAAAAAATAATAAGCACATTTTCAGGGACAGGTAGGGAACAACATAAATAAAGACCTTTTAACATATTATATTACAAATGCGAACAAAACATAAATAATTTAAGTTCTTCTTAACTAAAGCATAACAAGCACACACAGTTATACAAACAAACAAAAAACATCACGTTATTTAAAAAAAAAACACACACAAGTGTTTATGTTCTGGTGTATGTATGACTCACCCTGCCAGCTGACACTAGCCTTACTGTTCAAAACTGCTGTTAAATCCCACACAGATATACATCCATCTGTAGTGCCACTGAACAGCAACAAAAGCCTGAGACAGAAAGAGGACAAAGGAAAATAATTCTAAGAAAATTTTAAATATGGAATAAGTGTTTTATAAATGTACAGCATGTCCTTACTTTCTGTCCTGGGAGTCCTCCAGCTTGTAGGTGGCGACGCTGAGCACACACCTCTGATGGTAAGACTCCCAAAGCATGTCAACACTACTGCTCTCAGTCACGCAGAAAAGCCTACAATTCAAAACACACACAGTCTCAATACATTAATCATAGAAAGTAAAAACATGAAACATTTTTTATGAAACTCATTTAAATTCATATGTTCATAATCTCAAACCAAGTTACCTTACTGCACCATCACTACAGCCCAGAGCCAATAAGACACAATCAGTCCCATTTTGCACCACAGCCATAGACATGTACCTGCAAACACGAGAAAGCATTTGCACAATAAAATCATAATGTAATCTCTCTGTAAGAAAATCACAATTACAATGGGGAGGGGGTACATTGTATTGTCCGCCCTCTGGTGGTTAGAAATGTTCAAAACAGCTGCAACCAACCATCAAACAACATTGGACCCAATTGACTTTCATTGTATAGTCAAGAAAAAAAACAACACTGAAACATTTTTCAAAATATCTTCTGTGTTATACAAAAGAAAGATTTATTTTTGGGTCAACGATCCCTTTAAGATAATAAAAATTACTTTTCAAGCTTATCTCTAGATCCAAACTTGTAAAGAAGAGAGTATTTTAACATATACATTCACAAACACACATGCACCTTGTCTCTGGGTCCATTTTGACAGTCTTGTGTCGGTTCCGCTTCCGTTCCCACTGTTCATCCAATCGATGGCCAGCTATCTGAGTGACCTGACAGATTGGCTGACTCTGCTGCTCATCCAAATGCATCAGGAGCCGGTAACACTGCAGCTGGGCCCGGCCACCCACAGAGAACACAAAAGAAGAGAGAGAGGAGGTATCTGTCACGTCATCTCTCCCTTTTTCATTAGTTTCTCCTCTTCTGATTGCAGCCAGAGCACGAACATTGGAGATATGGTCCGTTAGAACTGAAAGCACCTTAACAGTTCCACTCTGTGTACTGATGGCAAGTACACCTACTGTGGTATCCTCCCCTCCGGTAACAAAAACTTCCCAAAGTTCTGACAACTGTCCAGTCTTCGTCAGACTACCAAGGTGGCAAACACAGCTGATGCCTCGTCCATGTAGCCCCTCTTTCAGGGTGTGTGCATTCACATCGGTTTCTGTTGATGCTAATGAACGTGATGCCATGACAGCACCATGCTTGATAAACAGAAGGGTACCTTGTCCAAGTGTATGTGCTTGAGGATCTGTGTCCATGTTTATTGGGTGTTTGTAGGCCCAGGATCGATGGCCGCCTCCACAGGCAACTGATAAAAGCTTCTCTTGTCTGTGAGGGTCCCATATAACGAAGTGGACCGAGTGGAAGCCAACCATTACAAACCGAGTTTCGGCTACGATTGCACTCTCTTGATCGATCTTCCTATTCTCAGTTGTCTCATTCAGCAACTTTCCCTGTACCTCTAGTCCATCCAAGCCCAGAAACAGAACTTTCTCTATCCACTCCATGCCTTTGCAGGCCCGTTGAACTCTACGCACCTTCAGAATATTTTCTTCAACAGTTAGTATTCTTACAGATTCATCTCGACCTGTACTGTAACATAAGTCTTGATATTCACACACAGAAGTCACACCTTGCTTTCCATGGACTCCATAAAGGGTACTGATGGAAGACAGAGGACCACCATGGTCTGTTTGCTTGTTTTCAGTTTCTTGATCTTGTAAATCCATTCTTCTTTCTCCACCTTCATTTCCACTGTCATTCTCTCCTCTTTCAGTGTAGAGCAGTAGTGACCCTCTCCGGTCACCACACAGGTACAACCCCTTTCTCTGGGACAAGGTAACTGCAGCAGTCAGCCAGCGTTTGGCACAGGGTGGCAGCAGGAATGGAAGAAGAGTTTCCTCTTTCATATGCAGGCCCAATTCATCCTCTATCACTTTTATTGTCCATCGATAAACCAGTCCCTCAGAGCCCGATGCAAGAAGACACCAACTCCAGGACCCTTCAAACAGTCCCTTGACCCAAAGTACAGAGTGAACTTTACCCTCACCAGCTCTTAGCAAGACTCCCACACCTGGCTGCCCTACAAGAAACACCTGGACACCTCCTTTCAGATTACCCACTGCACACACCCACACAATGCAATCTGAATTCTGGACTTGGATGCTTGTGATCTCCATTACACAATAGGACTGGAATTCTGCTCCCCCTTGCCAAATTACATCCCAGGTGTCACCCTGACTAAGGCACACCTCTCCTTGATCAGTACAGACCAGAACTGTATACAGTTCACCCTCACCCACTAATCGGACCACTTTGGGACAACCCTGCCCTTTAAACCCCAGATCCAGCTGAGTCTCTGCCTTAGTTTCCTTACCGTCTTTCTTCTCCTTTGCCACTCTCCATACTCTTACCCCACCATC